AACCCTTCAACTGGCGTATCCGATTGCCCAGCTTTATCACATCTATGCACCAACACCGCCTACACAGCTCTTATGACTGATCAGTGCCCAAGAACCTGCAATCGATGCTCGACAAACTCGACCGCAACAACAACAAGTGAGTACACTTCGATGATGATGGGACTTAAGGGCAAGCTCAATTATTGCTAAAGAGAAGGGGGGGGGGGTCACCATTGCCTGTGTCTAACAAGTAAATGGTGCGGTAGAGGTTACCGTCACATACCTCTAAAACATTGCTTAATGGGCAGAGATGGACCAAAGACCTTAGAGATGACTTTTGTCTTTCCAGGCTCTGAGAAGGGCGTGAGCGCTGGAACGTGTAGAGAGTAAGGGCTAATGCCATTCTGAGCCCAAAACGATACCGTTGTATAGTTATACTGTGAAGATTCCATTGTATAGATAAGACAACAGCTTCATAGATTCCGCGGTCTTCCAATTCCTTGGGGTGTCACTGTAGGTAAGCTATACACAACCCATAAACTGGCTTACCAGCGCCAAAGAAAATACAACCAGCTCTTCCAGGATCTTTATGCTTAAATCTGATTACTAGACGCCTCAACGCCTTAGGGCTGTTGTTGCGACTGCCCTTAACATCCTTCCATTAATGACGTTCATCAGACGCATCGCCCTGGGTATCCATCGGGATCACTGCTTTCAAAATTGAGTGCTCGGCGCAACTCAGGAGTCAGGGATCAGGATGAAAATCCATTTTTCTACGTGGCAATCATAACGCAAGTGAAAAATAATGGCGCAATTACGAGTTTTGACGAATTCTCGACTGAAATACCCAAAATAGTGGAAGTGGAATGATACAACGGAAGAAGCAGCTTTTGTCTCCCGTCCATTGAAAGTCGGAAATCGCACGGAACTCATGGCGTAATTATCTGGAATCCCTGCTATTATACTAATATAATGCTGTCCATTATGACCTGGATAGGAAGATCAATTCAACCAGCGTGGAAGCCAGGTAAACCCATCTAGAGAATCTCAAGAGTGAGTGCGCGCCCTTACTGAACCCGAGAATTATAAGGAATCCTTCGAGGAGCATTCCAACACCCGGAATTTTCCTTTCTCAAAATTTGCTCTACGATTATGATGGATCATGGTTCTGTGAAAAACAAGTACTGGAGCATTAAGTTACCAACTCGACGACCTGCGTTGACCTGACAAACCCAACTACTGGAGTGTCCGACTGCCCTCAACGCGTCGCTTTGTGTACTGACAGCAACTACATTGCTTTGATGAGGGTAAGTCATTGTGAAGCTTGAAGGGTAACTCAGACTTTTATATATTGAAGTCGGCTTACTACTGATATTTGCAAGGTGGTGATCAGGTTTTACTGATCATATCAGTCATACTCACCATCTCACTACTGATAATTGCAAGGTGGTGATCAGATTTTACTGATCAGTCATACTCACCATCAAAGTGGGTCACTTTCGCGGAATTTCCAGCAGGAGTCGTATTTGCATATGCAGAACGAGGAGCCATAGCTGTGATTAGGCAGTTTGAAGGGGGAGTGGGGGGGGGGGGGAGAAGGGATGATTAGTTGTCATAGGTGAGAAAAAGGTGAGATGAAACACAATACTACTAGTAAGTTCGGAGATTGAACTCCCTCTCCCTTCCCCCGTTTGCGGATTTTTTTGAGTGGGGGGGGAGGGGCGGATCACATAGTACGATATTGAATGACGCAGTTGACTATCAGAAGGGGAGGCCCCATGGAAGGAGGGAGAGGGAACTCATCGTGGTGAAAGAAGGATGGGGTTGAATCAATCCGAAATTCTTTGGAACTAGGTTTTTCTTGATTTCACCTATCAACCCTGCCTTTACCCAAGGCCCTCAACAGTATTTGTTAACTGGCAATCCATACGCCTATTCTATGTAACCTCAAGTGCGGGCCAAAGTCGTGTTTCAGACCCAGTGCCCAAGGACGTGTGGTTTTTGCAGCTCGTCCAGCACTGTTAGCGGCACAGCTGCCACAGTCACTGCCACAACATCTTCAACTAGTGAGCTGCATTTTTTTGTGATTCTGGGAACGTTTAGGGAATATTTCTGTTTAGCTTGTGCTGACGCCATCAATCCTCGCACTGGAACTTCCGATTGCCCTCAGCGTGCTTCGCTTTGCACTGACAGCAACTACCAAGCCCTGATGGCCACACAGTGCCGATTGACCTTGCGGATTATGTTAAATCTAAACGTTTGCTCTGCTTGTACAATTGTGATTGGCGTCGTAAAATGAACCTAATTTTCTCATCTATTGATCTGCGTCTGGTATACAGGAGAGCAGAAAGACAATTTCTATGGTGCAAGTCAGCAAACTTTTCATTGGCAACGACCTGAAAGTTCTAATGGGACACAATCTGTCGAAGTCTTCGTCGGACTGAACTAACTAACCCTTGCACCATGTATTCCTTGGCATAATCTTCTGACATCGTGAGTTAGAGAGCTACTATAAAATTGTTTGATAGATGGGAGTCAGTCAGGAGTATTCGGTTACATTTAAAAAAATGCGATTAGTTTAGTTCCAAATGTGTATTTGTCTAGGTCCCCCCCCCGCGTGTGTTGGCTACTCGTGAAAATAATGGGACTGCACCACAGGTCAGCATTAAGTTCTAGAAAAGAGCATCCTTTTTATAAAGCAGGCGAATTGACCAGCTGCTACTTTATTCATACACTCACTCCAAATTGGCTATTTGGACACAGATTCAATCCGGGAGATCAGGTTCCATGGCTCCTTCCTCGGCCGATCATTGTCCCTCAAGCCTCTTCGAAACAGGGTCAACCGTCATGTTGGACCGATTTCGAAAATTTTACGACCCCCTCCCCCTTCTAGAGGGCCTCGATACGACCCCCCTCGGGGGACAACCCTTCACCACTCCCTGAGTCGCCATCAGTTAAGGCTTCATCAATTACTTATGGTTAATCGATTACCAGAGACAGCCGACACAATCCCGACAACCACTTTTCAAATCATGGGGAGGGGGCACTATACCTGATCGCAAAACGCAAACATCCCAGCCCTCCCTCCTATTTTCACCAAGATTTCCCGAAGGTAAACTATACACTATGGATAACTGCAAATGTAAGGCGTGCGGCAACCACTACATCATCACTTCACTACTGTAGGCATTGACCGCTACCTCGCGAAATACGACTCACCCACTTTCGTGGGACTTTGTCATCGCAACGGTTGCCCTGATTCAAATGTCACTTGGAGTCTGGAGCATTTCCTCAATGGCCGACGGATCCTACGGAGATCTCAGTGGTCATTTTTTTTCCTTCGCCAGCACTGGCACCTACTCTCTTGTTTACTGTGCTTGGTTACCGGGGTGTGACTGTTAGCTATTGTCCGAAGGGGCTAACTCTCATTTGTGTGTCACAATTTGTGACATGAAGCATGGCTTCGAAATGTTCTTCGAGTATAAATGCGCGCCTTAGCATACCATGTATGGTAGATTACGAAAATAGATTTAAATCTTTATCATTTTTTTGCTGTCATTTCACGACAATGTTTCACAACCAAAATAATTGCCGCTTCTTCAGGAGAAATTTTAGGACGTATGTACATAATTTACAGCGTGAAGGACTACTAATTATTGTGTATGAAAATCTGAAATGAAATACTATGAAGCAGTACCAAGTAAGAAGGAAAGGAAAAATAAGGCAAACAAGTTACAAGTTCGAAGAACGTCATCATTCGCCTGATTTCTGAACACTTCCGATGTTAAAGGATTCCATTATTGCCGCAAAGTCCACAAGTTTTAGGGCATTGCTCCTGAAATTCAATAGTGAGGGTGCAATTTCGGTAGAAATGATGGGAAAACCCCTAACACAGCGACATGCCCAAGTAATCCCCATGATGATCCTACAGAAGTGGCTCCAAAATTTTGGCCCTCAAATACTGTTCCACTTTGTGATTAATGATCCTAAGTTAAAGGCACGAGTTGGGATCGAACCAGTGTGCTACCTTGTTCAAAAATTAGGCAAAGACTACAATGGGCATCAGCAGGAGGAAAAAACACCGTAAAAACACTGAAATTTCCCTAATGAGGCCAGCCATGGTATAGCGGAGAGACACAGCGCTGTGAGGAGAGGGAAAACATTAGGGCACGTCATAGACTCTCGTGTTTTCCCTCTCCTCACAGCGTGCCATCCTTATCAATCGCGAGAGTGCCAGACCCCACGCGATTGATAAGGATAGCAGCACCGCAATGCAAAGCCTTTGCGCCATTGCCTCGCACTTTTGAGTCACGACAGTGTCTCTGTCCCTCCTGCGCATGAAGCCTTCCTTTCTCACGTAAGTACTGGCTCTTGGGACCTAATCCTGACTAGTGCCTTTGAGCATTTCACTAAGAAAAGGTTCTTCTATCTTACAGATTATTCGTTGTAAGATGCTCACCTTCATAACGTCGAGGTAGACGGGATCATTGCAAAGTGCTTTTTGCAGCGGACAGTCCGATACCTGCGTTTGAGGATTGACAAGGTCGACACAGCCACCAGAAGGACCTTGGAAATAATCAGATTTTGTGGTATCAATGACTACGATAGGAAGTGCAAGCGCTTACTGCTGGGCCTGACTGCGGAACATCTTTTGCAGGTTTTCGGGCACTGTTCCGTCATCACAGTGTAGT